ATTTTTAGAAATAATACTACACAACCATTTGTAGTTAATCAAAATGAGCAAGAAAATGAGCAACAAAATCGACGACAACAATATACAAGTGCACCATTTAGACGTCGTCAACGCCGCAATCGACAACAACAATATCGTCAAAATGAATTTGTTAATAACAATCGATTTGCTATATTTGCTGATGAAAACAATAATGATCAAATTGAAATTGATTTAATTAATGAAGAACCAATAAATATTAATAAAAATAAGAAGAAAAATTCTAAAAAGACCCGATTATATCTCGAACCAAATCGAATGCTACGATGGTTTGAAGATAAAATTAGTTCAAAAAATCAACCATTAAATAGTCGTGGTAATCAAGCATTTTTATTAGCAGCAGCTCCAATTTATGATGAATGGGTCAGAAATAATTATGAATTACAAGTTTGGCAAACATACTTGAAGATGGGTACAGAGCAAAAACATTGGGCTAAAGAAATCGTACAACGTACAAAAAAACGTGATAATATAACAAATACTCGTTTTGTACAAAAGAAAATTAATCGATTAACTGAAAGTATTGCTCAAGCTACTGCTACCATCTCAGACTTGCAAATTCAATTAACTACATATTGGACACAAGTTAATGTGGAGAAATTAACTACAACAATAGCTGAAAATGTAGCAACTATTGTATGTGAAAAAATAAATAATAATAAAAAATCAATTACTACTACAACAACTGCTCCTGCAGCAGCAACAAGTCCTACAGCAACACCATTACCTACAGCTACAAATACTCTTAAAAATCAAGTTCGTGAGCCTATAGAAAAATTAGAAAAATATATATTAAAATACGTTTATACATATACACAACATGTCAAGAAAATGGCCGAAACTAAAGTTCAATTAGCCAAAGCTCAATCAGATGAATTTAAAGCTTTAGAAGAATTTGAACAAATAGCTACTCCATCTCAATGGAATATTCATTTAGCTTTAAAACCTAGAATAAAACTTTGGTCAACCAAAAATAAAAATTACTTGGCTGCTCTTAAACGTGTCGAATATGATATGCCTCCAAAATTTATTGAAAAAGTTGATTTATCATTTAAAATTGATGAATCTATTATTAATCAAGATGAAGCTCAAGCTACATATAATCAAATGCGTCAAATTACAAAAGAATTTCGTACACAAGCAATGACATTATATGTACAATCCTTAGGCAGAGAAAATGAATTATTATCGAATGAAATTAAACGTATTATTGAAGGCTTTCCTCAAGAAAACGATGAAGGATTTGATGCTGAGCCTGGACATGCAGCATTTAAACATTATCATAATTTACGAGAAAAAAGATTAAATTTAGAAGCTGAACAATCGATTCATTTTTTATCCGAAGAGCGAGTCGAGGGCGACACAAACGATCCGGTAGAAACCATTGCTCCGACTCTAATTCGATCGCTGGGCGAGGAATTCTTGCTCCAGCCATAATTAATCAAGCACAAATTCAATTAACCGAGGAAGAACATGAATTACTAAAATTAGGCCCTCGGTTTATTTACAATGATCCAAAAAACGGCATCTCGACGACGTACAACTGAGTTGGCTACTCTTAAAC